AAATCAATGTGTGACATGCCGTAAACGCAAAGCAAGCACCATCCAGCCAATTATGTCCGATTTACCGGTCGAACGTCTCGGATACAAGCAACCACCCTTCAATCATACGGGTGTGGATTACTTTGGACCGCTTTACGTTCCGGTTCGCAGAAGCACGGAAAAAAGATGGGGATTTCTTTTTACTTGCCTCACCACCAGGGCTGTACACCTTGAGATTGTACCGTCTCTGGACACCAGTTCGTGTGTCATGGGCATTGAACGGTTCGTTGCGCGCCGTGGTACGCCAAGCACAATCTGGTCGGATAATGGCACGAACTTCGTTGGTGCGGAAAAGGAATTACTTGCCTGCATCAAGAGCTGGAATGGCATGGCTCCGACCATTTTTGCACATAAAGGTGTTACTTGGAAATTTAACCCGCCAGGCGCACCCCATCATGGCGGTTCCTGGGAACGCCTCGTCCGAAGCGTGAAGCGCGTGCTGTACGATATCCTAGGCAGTAGGCGAGTCACTGAAGAGGTGTTAGGAACAACACTCTGCTTAGTTGAACAGGCTTTGAATTCGAGGCCAATCACTCCCGTTAGTACCGATTCACGTGAGTTAGAAGCGTTAACCCCAAACCATTTTTTGTTTGAACAACATGCCACAAGCTTTCCTTCGCTTTTACCCGGGGAGCACTTCGATCACAAGAAAAGGTACGTGCGAGCGCAGTCATATGCTAACGCGATTTGGTCTCGTTGGCTTAGAGAATATGTTCCCTCGCTGAATAAGCGTGTCAAGTGGCACACTCATTCTGACTTCACTCTTAAAACAGGCGATCTCGTGTGGGTGCTTGAGCCCGATAGTCCGCGTGGGTACTACCCTCTCGCCCGAATCGTCAAGCTAAACTACGGACAGGACGGTTGCGCCCGATCCGCCCTTGTCAGGACCGCAACCCGTGAAGTCACGCGGCCGACCGTTAAGCTCGCTCCGGTTCTTCCTTCTTCAGGGGGGGGGGGGGAGGATGTTGCAATGCAAAACAAGAGTATAGAATAAAACAAGTATAGATGCATATAAAACAAGCACAGTTGGCCGAGCGGCCTAGAGACAAGTCTCTCACGCCGATCAACCGGGTTCGAGTCCCCCCATATGCAGACCTTAAAACATGTAGACCCGAGGGGCTATAGCCCCATTTGACCGTTTTTTACTGTTTTTTGGTTCTAATTCGGTTCAGCCTTGATTAAGGCTGACCGCCAAAAAGAGCAATTTGTCTCAAGGACATTACCGACCGGTTCGTGTGGCTAGCTTGCACCAATTTGTTTATTAAAACTGTGGTTTGTGAAAATTATGAAAGTGAGTTGTGTGAAATGTTGGCTTTTAAATTAATGACGATGAATGTATGTATTGCCGAGAATACTACGAGTTAAAACAATTATTTGCCGAGCCGTTTTATACAGTTTTGGAGATAAGAGCGCACAAGTAGAAAAATCGAGCAACTTAATCTAGTTAACAGTTTCTTCATCAATTTATTGAAAGGGGTTTGTTACACTATCATAGCAAAAGTTCACTCGCATGCCAAGTTTTTATATTCCTCCGTGAAATATTTATTTTTCAATCGCGTTTTCTCCAATCAGTTTATTCGTTCTTTCGAGTTTTGCAAGATGGTGAAAACCACTGAAGAACAGCGAAGTCAATAAAAATTTTGTCGAGATTTGGGACTTACCTAGAGACAAACTCTAGAAAAAGTTTGATTGACCAGTGAATCGACAGCAAGAACAATTTATAAAAATTACATGGAAAATGGGGGGACGGGAGACGCCAAACGATCAGGCAGGCCTACGAAACTAGTCTATCGCGATCAAAGACAATTGAAGAGAATGATGGCTATTAACAACTAGACTTTTCTGACGAAATTGAGAACATTATTGAACAGTTTTGGTACGAAAACCGTCTCAAACGATACTATTCGGTAAGATTTTCACAAAACCGTGTACAGAGGACACGCTGCAGCAAGAAAAACTTTTTTGAAAACAAGCCGTTATCGAATTTTGTGGGCAAAACGGAGATGATGTGAAAGGACGGAGGCGGAATGGAAAAAAAACAATTTTCAGAGACGAGTGCCAGTTTTCCTTGAGATGTGACCGCAGAGTATTTGTGTGGAGGAAAACGGGTACAAGAAATCAACCCAAAAATCCAATCCCTCGATCTTCCAACCGCTTCTCATTCAAGTTTTGGGGCTGCATCTCAAGTTCTGGATTCAGAGTTCTGCTCAAAAGGCTCCCGCGCGGTGCAAAGCCGACGACTATATTCTACTTTTGAGTACAGCAGGAATCGACACCCTCGGAAACGATCACTGCTATATCCATCGTGCCCGAACTATTACTCAATGGTTCGCGGAAAACGGGATTGGCAGGTTAGTTTCTCCACTATACAGCCCGGATTCGAATCCCATAGAGAATGTCTGAGCCTACAAGAAGTCTCAAATGAAAGCATTGATCATTAATCGGGAGAATTTAGAAACCGTTGTTTTTGATATTTGGAAAATTATTCCTGACTCATTTATTGAAAAACTGTGCTCGTCGATGACCGGAAGAATGAAAAAAATTTATTGAGGTCCGCTGTTTTTTGGTCAAAACTAAATTTTCATATATGCGCGTGAAATTCTCCTACCCCACTATGTAGAACTCACTAATTTTTTGTACTGGTTGCTGTGGTCTGAAAATTCTGTCCTCCATTTACTACAACCGGCTGCTCTTGTTTCGCAAACAGATTTAAATATTTTACTGACAATTATTTCAATTATTTTCAAGTATTTCAATTATTTTCAAGTATTTCAATTATTTTCAATTCAATTGTTTTCATCTGTTTCAATTATTTCCATTTTTAATTTTTTTTGTTTCTATTGTCAAATTTATTTTTAAAACGTAAAACAACATTTTAATTTACAAAAGTTACTTGTCAAAAAATGTAGTTTTTCGATACAAACTTAAGTGCAAAACAAAAGCCGACGCATAAGTTATTTGCAATTTTTCGACCTTTTCCTCGCTGTATACTGGATTCGTCCTGTTTTTTAATTAAGAAAGTAACATCAAAGACTTCTTTTTCCCTCAATTCCAATTTCTTGTTTACTTTTATTTTGATGACATCGAGTATTATTCAACTTCGCATGAATGTCTATGAAAAACCGTTTTTTCATAATTCTTTTAATTCATTCAAAAATTCATTATTTATCTTTTTAAGCTTAATAAAAACACATACAAAACGTGGAACGTTTAGTTGGTCCAGAACATATATAAGCACTTTTGAGCCTGCTATTTAGTTTCAAGCAGTATTTCATTATGTACATTAAGGCATGCAATTTTTAGAAGCTAAATTTATATTAAAGCATCTTTTTTTGTTACACAAAATGAAAATGGAATGCGAAAACGAATGGACAGCAAAGCAGTTTATATCTTGATGATGAAGTTGATGATGATGATGAATGAGCCTACACCAAGGTGCGAGTCACGTGACATATCTGGACCCCGTTTGATGTCTAATCAGACTGGTCCAGATGTCTGGCGCAATGACACATCACCCGTGTCCATGCAACCTGCGATTAGTTGCCGTGTTTCTCTACGTTAAGAGACAACCTTTGATCGCGGCACATGGTTATGTACAGTTTTTTTTCTTCTAGCAACTACAATGAATTTGAAGCGCCATATTTACAGATCTTTTTCTTGCATATTTTGTAAAAAAAAATACACCCACTATTTTTTTCAAAAAAATACACCCACTATTTTTTTTCCAAAAAAATACTATATATTGTGCATTTAATTTTTTTTTCGTGGTATAGATGATCGAAGGCAAAAAGATCCGAAATATGCAGTAAATCTGCAAAGACAAGAATATTTGATGAGGTAGGGTTATAAACATAGATGATAACAATTAAAAATTGGTTAAATGTTTGCTTTGTTGAGCACAAATAATTAGCAGCACCATGAGAATATACGGTATTTACTTAGCATTTATGACACAATTGTGAAGATTCGAACATACTTGTCGCTGCGGTAAGATTTACTTATAAATGTTTGATGAGGCTTAAGTGTGTCTTACATCAGAAAGATATACACATAAAATTTGAAGAATTTATCATATACGAAACACAGAAAGCACCATCTAAGTGAAATAATCCACAATCTGAACAATTTGATTAGCTGTCCAGGTGTTCAAAAGAGTTTTGTGACCAAATTCTTGGTTTAAGTAGTCCCAAATGAAAAATATTTCACATTACTGCACGTAGCAACTTTAGTCACATCGGGTGCAATTATGATGTAAAATATTTGACAAAATACCAAAAAGCCATTTTATTACTAAAAAGAGTCAAGAAAGTTACAAAAGGACATGTTATTATATAGAAACAAACAACTATTTGGTCAAAAGTTACAAATATTTTAGGGGGGTCTTTCTTGTCATACGGCCCAAAACTACATCGAAACAAAATTGAAATTTACACTAAATTTGTTTCTGTTTCATGATGTTCAATGATGTTCAATAATGTTTCATGATGTTTTAATTCATCTTCAAAAATTTTAAAGTCCTATTTTCAAATATTAGAAGCATCGATTTTGGGCCGTGTTACAAAAAATATCCACATTTTTGGTAGAAAACTTCACATGATGAAATGATATGTTTCAGGGTTGCTTTGGAAAACAGTCGACAACACTGCGAAAGTGCCGTTTTTCGAAAGTTTTTTGATCTTTACAAAAGGATAATCAAATCCCTAAACCTGCGTTTAACATAAGCAAATATACATAACAGCACACCTTTTAGATGAGAACTTTTTTTTAGCTTAGTCGCGCAGAAATAAGGATTTTTAAAGCTCCATGCATGCAAAATGAAGCCTTAGTTAATAAAATACTACAGAGAAACTTGGTAATTAGATCACTATCAAAATAGTAAATAATGGTTTCAAAGGTCAATAAAATATATGCTCATTAAATATGGTGACAATTTTTTATTAGCTTGAAAAAGTTTTTGTCAACATATCAAACGAAAAATAACAGTCCGGCTGTTTTCAAGTTTTTTTCCTGTTCGCTGAATGGAGAAATTTCAAGGACGGAAAAGAGTGCACACAATGATAACTGCCTGTCAGTCACTTTCGTTCACACCTCGTTTACGCCACTTTGTTTTTGATAGTTGTGAAGTTCAGTTTCGCAATTGTGTTCACAAGTCGTTATTTTTACATTGTGTCTCGTTTGGTCGTTCAGTCGTCAACTTTTTGTGGCGTATTTTGGAATCAACGAAGCTCTTTTTATCATTGAAGCTATGACGAGTTTGCTGGCATGAGCCAAAAGTGGCTGTCTTTTGTAATGTAGTGTTTGAAGTGTCTCATCACCCCACTGCCAACTGACTCATACTTCTCTGGCATGACCTCGACGGGAACCAGCAGCCCCCCCAGTTGCAAGTAGCCCCTGTACAGCTCCTTCTCCACAGTGGCGTGGATGCCCCTGCTCTCTATCTTGCCCAGCAGTTTGCAGCCCAATTTATGCAGCAGCTCAGGTCTACACGTGACCACGTCCGACCCACTGTCGACCATGAACTCTAAACACAGCAAAAAAAGTTAATTTATATCAACACAATTTATTCTAAACTACCGCCCTGTTTTTAGAAATTTTGAAGTAATATTTGAATTTTTCAATAGGATGGATGTTCAGGGAAAAGTTCTGGAAATTTTTACTAGAAAAAAATCAAAACTCCAAAAAAAATTCTGTAAAAAGCGAGCATTTTGTGTAAAAAAAACTTCGAAAAATTCTCAAGTAATGTAAGACCACACATACCTGACTTGCTTTCTTGTAGTTTTTCGAGTCCAATGATTTAAAAAGAGTCTTTTTATTATTTATACCGCATAGCATTGTTTAGTTTAGAGTACCGTTTTTACACGTTCTACTCTAATTAAATAAAAACTAGTCGTGCTTTTACACGTGCACGGATGCGATACCATATACCGTCTATCTTTAGAGCGCTTGCTACAACTTGTAAACAAGAATCAAATATTAACACAGGTGAGTGAAAAAAAGCGAATTCCAAAACAGACCTGTAAATTCAAGTCCATAACATAGCACGTCATACAGTTAAATGCTAGAAGTTAAACAAGTATTTGTTTTAATTGTACAAGTTAAATGTAAGAACTGAACAAAAGCTGAAACCGGATTTTTCGGAGCAAAAACGAAGAAAATATTTAAACGACAGATTTTTTTTTCTAAAATCTGTCGTTTAAATCTGTCGCTCAAAAAAAAACTGGCCTCCAGATTGTTGAAATGATTTTCAAGGAACTTACCAAGTTGACATGCGAGTGAGTTGGGACTGGTATCCCCCTTCAGGGCTGCCTGGACACACAGGAAGTCACTGGTAGCCCCCTGGAGAGACTGAGGCCTCCCCCAGTACCCCACGGCCACTGTCTTCTCACACACTCGATGCGTACTTCTACTGCTGCTGCTATCGCTCCCCCTTTTCAACCCCCTCCCCTCCCCTGGACTCGCCTCTTTCTCATTATCCCCCACACTAGAGATGGATGAAGTAGATGACGTCACTAGACTTGTGGGCGACTTTTCATGTGATGATGATGTGGCATGTTGTGATTGGCTGTTGATTCCGATTGGCCTTTCAGAGTTCTGCAGTTGGTCGGAGTTATCGTTGTTCGTTTGTGTGTTCGGGTGATTAGAAGCGATGTATCCCTCCAGATTTGCACCTGTAGAATTGACCATTAACTTAAAATCAAACAAGATTTCGACCACAAGGAGCTATAGAGACATGGTTATATCTCCGCCTCTAAATTGAAAGAGCTTGTTGCTTGAGGAGGAGGCAACATTACCCAGCCAAAAAAAAATAACCAAAGAGTTACATGTAAAAAGTTACCAGGGGTACAAAAAGTTACCAGGGGTACAGTTTAATGGCTCTTTCGCTTGTGGATAAATCGTCTTAAATACAAATCCTCGTAAAATTTGACTTCAATATATTTCGTAACCCCCATCGCACATATCAATTACCGAATAATAGTAGTTTTATGGATCGCTTTCCTCAGGCGAGGTGGGTTGGGGGAGGAAAAAAACCGTTTTACATACTAAATATGTTAATTTAGGTAAAATCTTATCTTCAACATTCAAAGCTTCAAAACAACACGACGGCGTTAATGCGATTCTTTCAAATTAATTGAAGTCGCGTAAAATTACAAAATAAAAATGTTAAAAAATTGTTCACTCGGCACTTTGCATGTAAGAATTGTTGTATAAAATTGTTCACTTGTTCACGCTGACACGGTTAAATGCAATTTAATACCTTAAAATTCATTTTAAATAGACTTTCATATTTTGATTTTCAGAAAAATCAAAGGGGGGACTGGAAAAGAGCCGCGAATTGTACTTACTCAAATTATCATGAATAGATGATACAAAAATGGCAAAAAAAACTAATCGACTAAATCAAAACAAGGTGATTGAACTTACAGCATAGCTTGAACCTCTTCTGTGCTCCGTATGTCTTCAAATTTAGCTGCTCCATCAACCTGCTCGGAGTTTTCTGTGCATGTTGGGAAAGTTTTGCTAGACTGTCGATTCCTTGTCTTACTAAGGGAGTCCACAAGAATTTCAACTGGTACATTCGAAGCCATTTCAGTAGCACAATTTTGTCCGAAGCCAGGTAACTAGAGACTAAAATGATATAACAATACTGAATTTTAAACAAAGCAAAAAATATTTGAGATTATTTTACCACGCAATTTTTCAGTACAGCTGTGATCAAATTGGATAATTTTAAAAGTCACCTTTTGGAAAAAGTTATCATTAATGGTACAAAATAGTACAAAAATCTTCAAAAAGTTATCATTAATGGTACAAAATAGTACAAAAATCTTAATGGTACAAAATAGTACAAAAATGTTTTCTGAATTTGGTAGTTTTGAAACCCATGTCACTTTTGTAGTTGAGAAGGTACGTACCCTCACAACTATTTCTTCTTTTTGTTTCAGAACGATCTTACGTTCGATTCAATCGATTATGCATATCAAAAAATAAGGAAGAAGTGACCTTCAAGCTGAGCTGTCGATGATATTGAATGATACTTCGACAAAAAATAAAAAGCTATTAAAAATTGTCGTCTCTTTTTCCTTTTCCCACCACCTCACACGAACATGAGTTTTATGCTGTAACGAGGGGTTTTACAAGGTTAAGTATGAAGAACAAATATGTTTGTCACAGCCTATTTAGTTCGCATACCAATTTTTGTAACAATCCGATGCTGTGAACAAAAATTTACTAGTTAAATTTTGCTGGTGGGGGAAAACGAAAAAGAGCCACCAATTGTCCCTCCTCCGCACCAAACAAAACTAATAAAAGCATCAACTTTTTGGTATGAGTAACAAACTTTTTAGCAGGTGGGGGAGGGGTTCCCAATTTTTATCAAATTTTTAAAATTTTAAATAAATTAGACTGTTGCAGTTATCAAAAACGTTCGCTTACAAAACTTCTTATGACTAGTGCGTTTTTGATGAGAAAAGCTCTCGGAAAAGTGTGTTAAAACATGAAATGAAGCGGTAGCTATACCTGTAGTTAAGATAAGCTCTCTGTCTTTGTGGGAGTGAACTCCGAGGAACTGTAGGTCCGAGTAGTCCAGGAGTTGCAGGTCCAGTTCACTCCAGATCCCCTGCTCCTCGAACAATCCCTCATAACGTTCTAGGCCACAACTCCTCAAGAAATCACGAACTAGAAATGAACTTCTGGAACTGGAATTGCTGGTTTCTTGCGCGCTGAAAACGCTTTCGACGCCTGGATTTACGGACTCTGGGGTTGTGCATCGAAACAACGTGTGACCGGTTAGAGACTCCACTGGATGTCTTGACTTTTTATGCTTGTCGAGTCCAAAGTGAGCCCTCGAGGCTTCGCTGGAGTGTTGGTCCACAATTTTGGCATCCAAAGATTGTAAAATTTCAGCCAGAAGTTCTTTCACAGATGATGATTGGTGCTCATTAGGGACCAATTTGAGAATTTTTGGGTCGAAGTTTGGAGACAAACTAAGTTTATTTTTGTTTTTGTTTTTGCGAAAGCCTTGGAGAGATAACCGATTCTCAATCGGTTTGCGGTTGCATTGCAGAAGTGTAACTCTTTTATTTTTAGAGTTTTGAAAAGTCGATAAATCTAGTGGAGTGGTATTGTGGTCTTCATTCAAACTCGAATTGTTATTTTTGCTTGATATGCGATAAAAAGTATCAGTATCATTCAATGGTAACAAGCGCGGTCCCATAGCTTTTATTTCTACTTTTAAAATTTATTGAATGATGTTAGTCGTTTGATTTTTGGCAGATTTTTTCGACGGCGCGCTGGTTTTATCTGGCCAGGTAATCTGCTTGATTGATTCGATTTGCAGAGATGGTTTTAGAGAAATTACTGTTGTTTGACTTAGTTTTACTTTTATTATTTGCTCAAGTGATGATTAAACAAAACTGATTTTTGGTAGCTGGATAAAAATAACAAACCAAATAGAATGACTGGATTTTTCGGAAGCGTGCCAAATGAAAACAATGATGAAAATGTGAAGAATGATTAGTACAAGACAGACTTACTAATCAAAAGACTGAGTGAAAAATTGGTTAGTAACTTTTCTTTTTCTCGCCATCTTGTCAGACGAAGTAATTCGGCGATCTCGTTGAAATCGGTTCTGTTCAGACCGGTAATTTAATATGGCTGCTTCGTTTTTACAAACACAATTCTGACCAATTTAGTAGGCTGAAAGTTAGAACAAAGCTAACAATCGTAGTTTCAGTCTTAGCTTGAAAATGAGTCCTGTTTTCAAAATCACCTTGTCAGACAGTTCAGACCGATAAAATATAAAAACTATCTCGGATTAATCGAATTAAACTCAACTTTTTGAAGCTAGTTATGTTTGGCTGGCTTAGCAATAAAATGATTTGATGTCTGGTTTTGTTGCGATTATGTTTGCAATTTTACAGTCTGGGCTATCATTAGAAACCTTTATGGGCCAGGTAATTTTCGCCACACGATACGAATTTACGGTGCGCTTGTTCTCAAATCAAACATGCAAATTAAATTCAATTGATATCTTTCAATTTAAGAAAATTGTAAAACTTTCAATCTGTCCAAAATGAAAATCATGGGGAACCGTTTTAAACAATTAGTGGTTATAAATTAGGTAATTAAAGCAGGGATTATTAATGACATCTGATTGCTTTGAAGGTAGCGGTATTATCAACACGGACCAATTCAAAGCTTTCAAACTACGGAATAAATGGCTGATCTCAATTAATCCCAATTAATCCTTAACCACCCAAGCTTAGTGTTAATTGACAGTCGCCAGTTCATTCTTAAAGACGTGATTTATATTGGTATTCCAGAAGAACGTTCACACAATTTTTAAGATGAACTGCTTTTTTAGTCTCCTGGAAAAGCAGCTAAGTGTACCGATCAGGCGCGGATCTAAGTTATTTTTGATGGGGTGTAGGGGCATGTAGAAAAAAAAACGCCTCAAAGTTTTTATCCACATTTTTTGGTCGACCAAAATGACCTTTGCGAAAAAATTACAAAAAAAACAGCTCAAAATTGCTGTTTTTAGGTAGGTACTTTTTGAAAAACTGTGACACAAAAAAAATCGTTTTTTTTTGGATTACGCTCCTCTCAATTTCAATATACAAGACACATTTAGAAACATTTTAGGATCAATTGGCCAAAATAGTACAAACGGTGGGAAGGGATCGACCGCATAAATCCGCTGCTAGTACTGGTCAAACCAGTTTTCCAAGCTCTGTAAGAAATCTCAGGTGAATCGAATAAAAGCTAAAAGAGACGTGCTATGAGGAATTGTTGTTCTTAAGATATCTATAAAACATGATTAAGAAATGCCACAATAGTTAATGGCGGCTAGTAGAACAGAAAAAGAACGTGGATTTATCCGGTAGTAGTGGAGGGATGAAAAAGGGAAATGAGGCTGGGTGAGGTTTGGGGAACTCAACTGAGGGGGTTGATAAACGAAAGGGCCGCTCGACGCTTTCGCGAAACGAAAGGTTACCCCAAGGCACTATTCTAACACAATAATTTTCGGCAGATAAATTGGTTTTACGCTCTCAAAAATGGGATAACGCTCTCAAAATTGAATAAAAACATTCGAAAAGTTTTTAAAAAAGCAACAAAATTGGCCATTCGACGTGAAAAAATCACAGATTTTCCGAAATTGAACAACGCGAAGTTTTTTATTTTTTTTTCGAAGTAAATTAGCAAGCCCGTTGATGTTTATAATTTTTTAAATCATTTATATTTTTCCATTTCATATCCTAAAAAACTTATTGCGATAATTGTGAAAAATTTTGAAATCGATCTTTGCTTAATCTTGAGCCGGAACACTTAAACCTCAAACTAAATTTTCTTACCTCGGTGGGTTTGTAAAGTATCTATTTTTTGCAACCAAACACAGACTAACATTTTTTAATATGACGCCATTCTTCACATTATACTAACTTTTGGGATAGTTTCTTGCCTTCGAGAGTGTTCGAAAAAAAACAGTCCTAAAAAATAAAATTGCTATGTTTTCTTATTTCCGGAAAAATTTGGGCGAAGAAAGATCGGAGTATCGAAACGTTCGGCCAAAAAATTTATTAGCTTCCTCCGTGGATTCAACCGTTTCAGAAAAAGAATATTGTTCAAGAATTTTATTCCACTTTTCAAGAGAGTTTTCTGCCACATGTACAGTGCTAGTGCTGATTTAAATGATCTGCATAAAAAAACTTGATAATTAAAACGAATTTTTCTCAAATTGGGTTGATTTTAGACAAAAATTGATGATGACCAATATTGCTTAAAATTTTAACAGAACTCATATGGTGCAATTGATTTGTATGCAGGCTCAAAATGTATCCCGAAAACTATTATATTTGGCTTTGTTTACTCAACCAAAAAATACTCCGAACGTATTTGTTCATTTACTGACCAAAACTGCTAGCCTTTTATAAGCCCAACAAAACATAAGAAGGGTCTAATCTACAAAAGATGGCGCAAAAAAATCAAAAATGTTTATTTTAAGCAAATTGGTCTTTATAAAGTAAAAATGATAATTTTTGGCTATCAGACGAAAATAACTATGTTGTTACAGAATTGAGAAAAATAAACGATTTGAAATTTTGTTGATCTTTCGTTTAGATTTCACAAAATGCATAGTTTGGCCTCGTAATGAAATAGGAAAAAGACAGGGAATTGAAAATGCATTCACCGGTTTTGTTTGGTCTCGAGCGCATTAATATGAACAATATGGTTTGATTCTTATATATTGTTGATCTAAATAACTAGATCTTCAAGCCAGAAACTAATAGACTTACGTTCTAGGAAATTGCATGTTCACAATTTAGTTCGCCTTGGGAGAATACCAAAAATTTATCAACCTGTCGGTTGACATCTCAAGGAGCAAAAAATATACGCCTACTGATTTTAAAAATATGGCTGCTTTTGTTTAAAGTTGATGTTTTCTATGAATTGTAGTTGTTGTCTTCGACGATCATTTCTAGTGATTCAAGTGTGTATAATGATAGTGCTGTCATGTTACTCTGAAACGCCCCCGAAGAGAATGTGGTTTCAAATCCAGACTATTGCGACCATTTCATACTATTGCGCCAAAATTCGGCATTTACAGACAACCGGAAACAAAAATTTCAGTACGCACTTTGTTGACCAAGGAGAGGCGTTTCCGACCGGTGCGAACCAAACAAAGTTGTCAGTGACCGGAGGTGAGATTGAAGATAAATTAGCAGACAGTAGCGCTACCGAAGCTAAAACATTTCTGACTGTCTTGACAATAGCGATATTTTCATAATTATCGAATACATCGATTGGTTGAACAGAAGTATAACTGAGGTTGACAGATTGCCGTTTTCTTTAAAGTTGGAAAAAAGATCAGTCAAGCATAAAATTTGACAAAAAATTTGAGAAAGAAAAACAATTTCATCGACATGTTTACCCAAATATTGGAGAATAAAATTCTTGGCTTTCAAATTTTTAAGATCTATAGTTTTCTCTAGAATTAAACACCCTGGTATATATTAGTGTTTTCATCAAAGAACCCTAGGATAAAAGCATGAGAATCATTACTAGAAACGTACGAAGATACACGGTCAGCAATAACTAAATTGCAACAAAGATAGCCGGTTGCTGTGCAAATAGCGCAATATGTTTCGACAAATTTCACAAAAAAAAAACAGAAAAACGTTTTTTTTTCTAATTTTCTTCAAATTAGTGTAAATTTTAGTTTTCAGATTTTAAGATCGTAGTGCAAAAGTATACGATCGCGTAGACAATTGGTTAATAAGGCATGATAAATACCGAAAAAAAAGAAAAAAAAATTGAAATTTTTATAAAAAAAATTTTGTAAGATGGTTTCGAATTTTTTGAAAAATTATTTTTTTTATTTAAGCGCTGAAAAAATAATTCAAAATTAATTTTGTTGACAAAAATGTCAAGTTTTATCAGCATAAAATTGTAGAGAGCAGTTAATTTTCATATAACGATTGTTACTCGATCGGAATTTTGCTCAAAATTGAACTAAAAATAAAAAATTTTAAACCAATTTTTCTCGACATTGGAAAAAATTTTTTGATGTCATTCGAAACACGACTGAAAAGGCTATGATATACTATTAAATTATCTCCGATGATTATTTATGAAAGCTGATTTTGCGTAGAAAAAAGAAAAGAAGAAAAAACGAAAACACACCCAAGTACAAAGTTTTTCCCTTTTTCGACAGACGATACAATCAAATGAAAAATTCTAATAAAAAAAATGAAGCTGATAAAATTGGATGAAAATTTTAGGCATTGGGTAAAAAACTTTTCAAGGACAAGTATCCTTAAAAGCAAAAACTTTTAGAAATGACTTAGACGCTATAAAGAATCCAGAGTGACGCCTTGCAATCATAGCGAAAAAACCTGCTTCAGAAGACATCTTACACTTTGAATTTAAGCATGCTATATGCTTTAAGAATTTTTTCAAAAATTGATTCATCGAAATGTTGGTTTTTTTAATCAAATTTTTAAAGTTTGGTGAAATTTATTTGAAGTAAAGTAAACCGGAACAAAAAGTCTGAGTTGAAGTCGTTTTTGGTGATTTTGATTTTCATTTTTTCGTTTTTTTGATTTTCAGTAAGTTGCAAGTTTAAGTATTTCGCATTTCAGGGCAAAACGCGTTTCTACATAACATAACATTGCGTTTTTAGTAGCATTTAGTAGTATAACAGAACATTACGCGTTTTTAGTAGTATCTTTAAATAATAAAAAGCTCACTCTTTTTAATATCAAGTACATCCAAATAAGGGTATATGGAGTTTTTACCTCAATACATATTTTTTGGATTTTAGTTTTAGATCATGTGTAGCTTCGACTTATGATAGAATTTTAAGACAAATTTCGATACTATCGCAAAAAAGTTCAAAATTATGTCCAGCCTATTGCCAAATAATTGAAAATAAATCCCGACTAAAATACTCACTATTGCTACTAATTTTCTGATTATACTGCGACAAATATCCACGCTATCTTAATTAAATCTTATATTTTCAGACTTTGTTATCGACTTTAAAACCCTGTT